AGGAATGACGCCAGAGCTAGGGAGAAATCATGAGTCATGAACCACAGGCAGCTTGGTGGGGGGTACTCTGGGCTGTAGTGAAGGCCATGGGTTCCTCTCAGGGTACTCTGGGCAGTTGTGAAGGCCATGGGTTCCTGTGCTTTCTCTTTCTTCCTTCAGGCAGGCTCTTCTCTACTCTTCAGAGCTGTCCTTACACCAAGTATTCTCTACTTCTTCTCACTGCCTGGGGATGGGAAGGGCCTAGACCTCCTGCCATGGTGCTCTCTTGCAATATTGCAAGGCTTATCCATGGTCTGATTCCTCCCTATAACAAACCTGTGGGGTAGCTATTGTTATCCCAGGGGACCATACACAGCACATGAGGAAGAAGAGGCCTGATATCCAACTATCTGACCACTGCCCTTTCTCTCTGGGCCTTCCTGGAAAAACTATCTCTCCAAATCCGTTGTAGATGTCCTCAGCTGTATTTCTCCTTTGGAAGCCTGGGTTTGCCATAGGCTCTTGGCTGTGATATGAGTGGTTGAGGTTGCAGGAATCACGACCTCTCAGTCAGTGTTTTCCTGTTTTTAATTGTTGTGATTGTAGGAAAAAGGAAGTGACATTTACCACATGCCAGAGGCTTTATATAGTTTATCTCACTCTGTTCTCACAGTAACCCATAATAGAAGGAGACATCACCATGTTCATACAGCCTTGGGGAAACCAACTCCCAAGAAGGGGCAAGTTTAAATGGCAGTACTCGGGCTTGAACCCAGACATCCCCAACTTAGGGCCTGGATTCTCTGTTATATTACAGCTGCCTTCCCACTGCAGAAACTCACCTCCTTGAAGTAGGTTGGGGGTGTAGAAGGAATACAGCTGTTGGGAGGGGCCATAGGAGCTCACCCAGGGGACCTGGTTCTGCAGAGCCCAAGTACTGGTGGCCAGGTGGAAAAGGAATGGCTGATTGCTTTCCACACAAAGCTTAGTGTTTCAAAGACCAGAGTCAGGGACCAACCGCCCTTGTTCCTATCCCAGAAGTTCCCTGAGAATACTACCTGTCCCAAATCTCCTGTTTTGTCAATGTGGATTCAGGCTGTGAGGGAGGAAGGGTGGGTCATTTAGTTAGACCTAGTCTGAGCTGGCCTCAAACCTGCTTTGTTCAGGTAAATGGTTGTGACTATAAATGGGGCCATGTTTCTAGGCTACAGGAGCCTATTATTTTTCCTTCTATTCAGAAGGTTCTGTGCCAAATGCCATGTTCACATGGGAGACTTTTGGGTGAAGGGGCAAGTTGGCTGGAGCCAGGGTTGGTGGAACCCGGGTGGGACTTTAGGGCTTTGGCCTGCCTGGAGCTGGCTGATCAGGCTAATGTCTGGCTGTATTTCAGGCCATGTGGGACACTGGTCCTGCTTGTGATGTGACCACACAAGTACAAAGTCCAGTTCTTTCCTGGGACCTCAGTTTCCCTATCAGTGAGAGACGAGGGTCCTGCCCTTCTGACCTCTCAGAGCTTGGAGAGAAGAATACATTTGGGGGAATCTGAAACTGCAGACCTGAAGCTCCTGTGTGGCCAGCTTGCTCCATGGCGGAAGCAGCTGCTGTGAGACTTGCGACTAAGGACAGAGGTCTAAAACTGGCTTCAGGCCTTGAATCTTGGATGGCACACTTCACTAGCTTGAACCAGGCCTCTCCCAGAGCCTGCATTTTCTGTCCACCAAACACTGAGTCCGGAAGGCTCTCCCAGCCCTGAGGTTTTCTTGTTCTATTCTTTGGCGTAGCATGATGGCTCAGGGACCTCCAGATGATGAGAAGATTTGAGGGGCTTGGTCCTTGCTATCCTCCCCAAAAGAGCTTTCTGTTGCCTCTTGTCACTCGGTGACCCAGACACCCACAGGTGAGGTCCCCGGATCCTGGTCCCAGATGCTGAGAGTTGGGAGCAGGGCATCTGGTACTGAGTCCTCCTCCCATGGTCAAGTTTATGCAGGCTTTCCAACTCTGTGCTCATTGGCTTTGCAGTGCAGGAAAATACAGTTTTCTGGAGGGACTGAAACCCAGGACAGCTTCTGTGGCGTGGCTCAGGTGGACGCTGGCCTCTTAGCTCTTGTGGCTCAGTATTCTCGGGAGAATTATGGAGCAAACCCATCTTTGCCTTCACCATAGAAGCTCCATCCTCAGCTTCTGCACAGAAGATGTCATGGAAAGAGCTTTGAGTCTACAGTAACATTGGATGTCATTTGTCCTAGTATCCTAGGCTGGTGCTAACAAGGCCAGGGACCCTTGGACACAGAACCTTATTCTTCCAACTTTGCAGGCTGGATTGGATCAGGACCCATCCTGCTGGCTTCATTTTAATATAAGCACCCATTTAAAGACTCTCATTTTCCCTACATGTATATTCTGAGGGCCTTGGGGTTGGTTGGGACTTCAAAGTGTACTGAATAGGTGTACACACACACACACACACACACACACACACACACACACACACCACACTGTACTGAGGATTGAACTGACAGCCTCACAATTCACTGGGTGAATCCTTTTTTCCATTTTAAAATTTGAAACATTTAACTTGAAACATTTTTGATCTATTCCTGACTTGGACCTTCCTTCTCCCTCCTCCTGCATTTTTTTTTTTTTTTGAGGCAGGACTTCTCTGTGTAGTCCTGGCTGTCCTGTAACTAATTTTGTAGACCAGGCCGGCCTTGAACTCAGAGATCCGCCTGCCCCTGCAAGTGCTTGGGTTAAAGGCATGCATCCCCATGCCAGGCTTGGTTGGACTTTGAATCCTTCTGCTTCAGCCTCCTGACTAACTGGGATTATAGGCAATTTGCTCCTTCAGGCTGGGTTCAGTATATGGATTTGGAGAGACATAATTCTGATCAAGACCATTTTGCTCCAGAATGGGAGACTGAGGCCCAGGGAAGAAAGGCTTGCAATTGCACAGTGGGCTGGAGCTAGAACTTGGGGCTGGGTCAGACTTCTATGTAAGCTGATCTCTTGTATAGCCAAAGCAGAGGATGGCCTCTGCCCCAGGACTCCTCACACGTGTGCCCTGTCAGAACTCCCCAGGGGAGGATTGGGCATTGCTATTTGCCAAAGTTGTAAATCTCTTAAGCCATAAGCTGCTCCTTGGCGTCTCCTGAATGCCCTAATGTGAAATACACATGTCCCTCCCTTTTAAGATCCAAGCAACTTCTGAATTTCCCATCGTGTTTGCACCTAAGGATGCAATTACCATTTCCTCCCATTGTCCGTAATGCTAGTCCCTCTTCTCCCAGCTGACGCAGGCTTTCTAGCCCGCTGGGTGAACACGCGGCCGAGAGCTTATGAAGATCGGACTGCTTCTGAAAGCCACAGGTGGCCGATGGCCAGCGATGCTTATCAGTCCCCCCAGGGCTGCTTTGAGGTTATTTTCTTCTCATCAGAAGATGTTGGATATGCCACAGAGAACGTTTCCATCAATTCTTTGCCTCAGCTAGCGCCAGCCCAGCACTGTGCTGGCCATGAGTCACCCCTTGCTGGCTGTCTCCCAGGCACGCTGGTCAGCTTCTGGTGGGCTTGGGCCTTTCCAGAAGACCCTGGGTCTTTGTGGTTGTTTACATGTCTCTGTGATGCTATGCCTGAGGCCCATCTCCTGATCACCACTTCCCCGTTTGACCCTCAGTTAAAAACCACACACACACACACACACACACACACACACACACACACACACACACACACACACAGACTTTCCTGTCAAGGAGGATGGAGTTTGAGTTTCTGGGGTTATCTTGGAAGAACAGAGGACTGGTGTGTGTTTTGAGTTTTTGAGTGTGTGGGTATCTTGAACTTAAAGCATCTATTGAGACAAGGTTCTCCTCTTCCACTAAAAGGAAAAACAAATGTTCCATCACAGAGCCCTTCCTATCCTCGGCCCCTTCTCAGTGCTGTTTCTGGGAGATGAGCGTAGGAAGCACACCGGGCCCCGGGCATGCTGCCAGGTGGGCAGTGTGCTTCCAGGTCCGTGTGTAGCTGTATCAGCCTAGGAACCAGGCTCTCCCCTCACCTGTCCTCAGTGCCCAGCTGCCTGAGCATCTTTCCACATCTATAAAAATAGGAAGTCCTTCCTTCCTCTTGTGGTCAGTGGCCATGGCTGTTGCCTTCCTATGTGCTGGCCAAATGGTTCTAGGCCACATAGTCAATGATAAAAAGACATGACATTGGCAAGAGTGTGTTGGAGATCTGGGAGCAGTTGGGGTTAGAGGGGGTAGATATCATATTTCATTGTATAAGTATGTGAAATTCTCAAAGGAAATGTTTAAAAAGATAAGGTAGGGCCGTCGAGATGGCTCAGTGGGAAAGAGTGCTTATCACCAAGCCTAGTGACCTGAGTTCAATCCCGGGGAAGAAGGAATGAACCAACTCTTGTTGAAAGTAGTCCTCTGATTTGCTATGGCAGGTGCACACATGTGCATATATGTATTTGTGTGTGCATACGTACCTGTACACATACACAAACAAAATAAATCTAAAACCAACAAGGTAGAGGGTTCTGGAGGAGACTATCTAACGTCAGCCTGTGGCTGACATCAGAAACACACATGCGTGCACACAACTTTTTAACCCTTCTTGCTACCTCACAGTGATAGTTATATTTTAGCTCACGATCCCCTGAGAGACAGACTCAGACCATATTGAAACCACAGCAGAGTCAAGAGAGTCCATTCCAGTCAGTCCCTCCTGTTGAACCGACTGGCTTCCCGAGGCCCAGAGGTGTGGACAGACATGCCATCCTCACCATCAGTAGTGGTAATTGTGGTATAAATTTTAGACATTGGATTCCCAGGGCAAAGGCCTGTTATCATATTTTGGTGTAGCCAAAATGGAGGCCATTTTGTGGTAGCATCTCCACAGAGTCCCAGTGTAAAATGTTTAAGTTCATAGCAAATCGAATCCCTAGCCCAGGCCCATGAGCACCTGGCTCCTCAGTGAGGTACAAGCATGCTAATGACTCTGCCTTTTGTGCTTCCTAGTGTCCGCCAGGACTTCGATGTCCCCACCAGCCATCTGATTGGAGCTCACGGATACTGCACACAGGTCAGGAGAGAGTGGGGTCCATGGAGGGGAAGTCAGGGAGCCCCTCCTCCTCTTGAGTTTCTTTCTTTCGTCTTCATCTGATCAAACACCTTCCATGCTGCTGTCATGAGCCCGCCTCTTCCAGCTTCACTGTCTTGGTGACCTGGGAGGAAAGCTCGGTTTGTTTTCTATCTGCGGATTGGTATTCTTGGGGTCATGGGGATCCCGCAGATGAGGTGGTACGTAGATCCACTTGAGTGCTGACTGCACAGAGTCCAGGCTGCCGGGACACACCCCAGCATGGCTGGTAACCCTGGTCAGCAGTGTATGTCGGTTACACTTGCAGAGGACATTGCCTTCACAACCACACTTCCTTCTGCGTCTTTACAGCAAACGCCCTGAGAGGGACAGGAGAGACCCTGTCCTCTTTTGTCATTTGTATTCCCTGTCAGGTAATGCCAAAAAAGACACCTGTTCAAGGTCCTCTCTAGTGTGCACCTTTCTTAGTGTGCCAAGGCCTCTGAGAAAGGCCATGTGGATCATGTTAAGTGTCGCCCTCTCTGTATGCAGGATCCAGAACTCAGAATCTTCTGACGGGCTGGGACTAACCAGTTGTGGGATATTGGCTCACTTGTGCCAAACCCTGGAAAGCTACCTTGGTCCCATGCAAGTGCAAGTTCAAGGTTCTGTGGTGTAACCGACACCCACAGAGGGGTGCGGGGCTGGCTTCTGCCCCTCCCTGGAAGAAGGCCATGGAGAATGTCCCCTCTTCTGGCTGCTTGGTGGCTCGCTCTCCTTTTGGATACTTCCCCCACCCCCAGGGAGCCTCCTCTTGTGGAGAGTGGAGAATGGAGCTGCCTGGGCGGCGGGGGTCAGGAATCAAACTGTACCAGCATCATCCTGGGCTGAGGATCAAGCCTGCACTTGCAGAAGGAGCTGAGATACCACCACCCCCGGCTCCAGTTCCTCCCTTGTGGAAGAGGCATCTGGCCCTTGTGGAAGAGGATCGCACACCAATCCCTATGGGTCATGTTGGAAAGCAGTCTCTGACTCAGGCTGGGCTGGGGCTAGGGAATTTCTTCGTCATTTTCTTTTCTTTTTTTCTTTTGAGACTGTGTCTTGCAATATAGCCCAGGCTGACTCTGGATTCCAGATCCTCCCGCCCCAGTCCCCTTAGTGCTGAGATTACAGCTGTGCACCCCAGCACCCAAGCCCGTGGAGGGTGAGTTTCTAAATGCTCCCCCAGGAGTAGACAGTCCATGGAGACAGTACACTTGAAGTAGCAATGGACTGGGTGGTGACTGAGCTTTGCTACTGCAGGGTTTTCGAACCAAGGGCAGGAGGCATGCGTGGTGCTCCTCCTATCTCAAGAACACTTCCTGCTGGGGGGAATGTTTTGAACACCTCCCAGATGAAAGATCGGGGGGCCTTCATTCTTATTTCAAACAAGATGGGAAAAGTTTCCACCTTTAAAAAAAAAAAAAAAAAAAAAAAAAAGACTGTACCTTTCTCGGTAGCTTCTGGACATGAGGTACAGTATCCCAGAGTAGTTATTTCCTCTGAATTCTTTTATCATTTCCCCTGCAGGGACACAATGAGGCCCTTCACTGTCTCCTTCCAATGGGGGCCCCTTGGTGGCCATCAATAGAGGCCTAACTGTCACTGGGGCAGGGGTGTTTTCATCAATGGAAGGTTTATGTACCCGGAACAGCGATTTCATAATTCAAGGGAAAACACTGCTGTGAACTCTGCCCGGCAGAGCATAAGGGTAGGGGTGGCACTGCCATTCCCGTGAGCTAGGAGACAGCTTCGTGCTTGCTTGTCTCACTGGCAATGCCAGCCCTGCTTGGGGGAGGGTAACAGAGGGAATACTTGTCTGAATGCTAGGAGTAGATTCATCAGAGTTCTTCTCTAAAGCATCCTTGGAAGCTACCACCTTTCAACTGGAGTGTCCAGATAGGGTTGCTGTCAGGGTAGCAAGGGTGACAGAGATGTTGTACTCAGAAGATGTGGGTGAAAGTTTAGCTCAGTCACTTTCTGGATATGTGGCTAGGACAAGTCCTTTCTCATCTGCTAGGTTCAGTTTCTTTATTCCTAACCAGTGGTGGGACACGAGGGTCCAACCTCAGTGATACTCTGCAGTACCAGAGATGGAGACTCCCAGAGATGGCATGCTGCACTTGACACCTCTGGTGTCTGCTTGGTGTGAGCCACAGGGCTGCTGGATACCTAGTATCTGAGGCAAGCTCAACACCACCTTTTGCTGCCCGCCCCCCTGCCTCTGCTCTTGCCCAGTCCTGCTTTTGTTACCATCCCTGTGAGACCCCCGGAAGACCAGAGGTACCTGCTTGGTGCTACAGTATGCAGGGTTGGCTGGCTTCCTGGCTATGGAATGTGCTGGGTCCTGTGAGATGTTATCGTTGAGGGAAGCTGGGTAAAGGGTACACAGGAACTCTCTGGACTATTTTAGCAACTTCTATTGAATCTAAAGTCATTTCAAACATTAAAATGCTTATTTAAAAAAAAAAAAAAACATTGTCTTTGAAGACTCCCCCAGCGGTCACTCTCCAACAAAGCTGTTCTTGCTTGATTTTGTGACTCCTGTCTATGTGAGGCCGGGGAGACTGTGCACAGGTTTTTATAGTCCCACTCATCTCCTCCGTTAGGTTTCAACTGCACAGACACATCCGTGACCATCCCCAGCTGGCCCAGAACATGGAGCTGTGTTGTAACCACTCAAAGGTCTTCCCAACCTCCAATACTGAGACTTAGGACAGGCTCTGTGTAGTCTTTGCTCAAGAAATGCTTGACTTGGATGACTGAGTCCCTCGGGGTGCTTTGGTGGGAGCCGTTGGAAGATTTTCCCCCATCAGTGCCTGTGGAAAACTCAAGCCTCTACAGTCTCAACTCTGCATTCTGTTTCTTGCCTTCCTTGGTTTCTTTCCTCCTCCACCCTTTTCCCTTGTTCTCGGCCTCCCCTCCACTCTCCCAAGGCTGATTTCAGAGATCTGACGCAGCTTCCCCTTCTCTCATCAACAGGAACTTGTCAATCTTCTCCTGACCGGGAGAGCTGTGTCCAATGTTTTCAATGATGTGGTGGAACTGGACTCAGGCGATGGCAACACTATGCTCCTCAGAGGCATTAAGGCACGCAGCGACATCGGTTTCTTGTCTCTCTTCGAGCACTACAATGTGTGTCAGGTACTCACATGTGCTCTGGAACCTCGGCAGCCTAGTTCCCGGGATGCATGGGATAGAGGGACATGGAGGAAGGGAAGCTGGTTTCTAGTTCCCAGATCTGGCTGGAGTTCAGGTCCAGCCTGAATACAGAGCAGATTAGAAGAAACACGACTTTGCTGCCATTTCCACAGACATTTCAGACTTAAACTGCAGTTTCTGGGGTCCAGAAAGGATAGCTGTGTAGGGAGACACCCTAGCCCCGCCCCAGGCAACCCAGATAGGTGCCAGGTGTACCGGGGACTCGCCCATGAGGGCGGGGTGTAGGGAAGGAGCTGAAAAGAACTCTTAATGGTTCATAATGTGACTGTGCTTCAGAGTGACTGCATCTCTCTCTCTCTCTCTCTCTCTCTCCCTCTCTCTCTGTGTGTGTGTGTGTGTGTGTTTGAATTCATAATGTATGAATGTATGTGATGTATTGAGGGAGGGATGTCTCTGGAGACAGGAGCTTCACATCTTAGGCTTTGTATTACTTTCTTAGGGCTGCTGTAACAAAATGAATGCTACAGACTGGGTGGCCAAAACAATAGAGGTGCCTCTTTCACAGCGCTAGACCCCGGTAGTAAAAGACCAAGTTGTGAGCTGGTTAGGCTTCCTTGGGAGGCGGCAGGGGGAAGATGGCAGTAGCCTCCCCTGACGGATGGTGTATCCCAGCACCCCTTGGTCTCTTTGGCTTATAGCTGTAGCACCCGGGTCCTGCCTCTGTTGTCACTTGGCTGATTGCTCCTTGTGTCTTTGTTTCTGAGGATCTCAGTTGGCTTCAGGGCCAGTTATCAGAGTGGGAGGGAGATGGGATTTTTGCCCCACTCTTTCTGTGTGACCTCTTTTTTTTTTTTTTTTTTCTTTTTTTATTAAATTATTAATATTTTCACATATACTTTCCCTCTCCCTCTCCCTCCCCCCAC